AAAAAAAAAAATCCAACCAACTGGATACATACCCGTCACACAAAAGAAAGAGATAGGGAATTTACCATAATGTAGGAAGTAGTGAAGGCCATGGTTATGAGTAGAATCAGGTAAAGATGGAGGGCAGCACAAAGAGATGGCCAGAATGGAGGCTTTGGTAACAACATTTTGAGAAATCAGACCTCTCCCTGTTTTTAGTGCCGTTGCAAATCTTTCCCATGACTGTAAGCCCTATCAAGGACAGAGACTTGGCCTGTCTTGTTTTTCCCCAAGATCTAGCAGTGCCTGGCACACAATTAAGCGCTCGCTACATATTATTGAATGACTGGTGGGTTCAGTTTGCTAATGGGCACAGGAGAGGGTGATCTGATTTAGCAACTGGGGTTATTCAGAGATTAATTTACTCCCAAGATTCTCCCACCTCTGCCTTTTTTAGGGCTCCCCGCTGAATCTGAAGTTCCTTTCCCTGACTCTGTTGCTGGGAAGTTATATCTTCTTTGCTTCTATTTTTCAGTTTTTAAATTTGTCATCAGAATGATTCATTGAATTGCGTAGTTTTTAATTCCTGTATTTCAGACTTTGTTTCAGGTCTATCCTTTAAGAAATAAATTTTTTTTTTCCCGTAGAGAAAGATTATCTCACTTCTTTTTTCCTGTAAAACCAGAGGTCCATTCAAAGTTTGGATAGTAATAATCACCAGACTGATAGGACACACACTCATAAATATGGATAGATCATGTACCAAAAATCACAAGTACTTTAATGACTGTGTATCTTAAAGCAGTGGTCTCCAAACCAGGGTTGCTTACCCTGAGAGTACCCCAAGACCCCCCAAGGGGTACATGGATACACAAAGGGAAGCAATTTCCAGAACTTCAAGTCTTATCTGGCTTCTTGCCTAGGACTCATCTGTCTAAAAGAAGGTGTCTGTGGTGGAGGTTGGTCATTCTACTTTTGCATCTTCTTTACCAGTTCTCATAAACTTCAGAATGGAACAGAATCATCTGGAATGCTTGTGAAAACCCAGGTTGCTCTCCCATTACCAAAATTTCTAATTCAAGTAGGTAGGGTATGGTCTGAGGATGTGCATTTCTTATAAGTTTCTAGGTGGTGCTGAAGTTGTTTCAGGAACAAACTTTGAGAACCAAAGGCTTCAGACAATCGGCCTTTTCCCACTTTATAAAAAACAACCACCACATCAAACACACTTCTAATCCATCCTGAGTCTTAGGATGCTTTTCCATGGAATGTGAAAACTATGAGCAAACAGGACAAATCAAAATTAATTATTCTGATAACAGTGTACAAATCAAATCATTTTTAAGGCAGGTCTTTGCAAAAATATTAAGAAAGAATTTGTTGAGTTGTCAGCTGAAAGGTAATTGAAAATAACTTTTGGGATGCCTGGGTGGCTCAGTCAGTTAGGTGTCTGCCTTTGGCTCAGGTCATGATCCCAGGGTTCTGGGATCAAGTCCTGCCTTGGGCTCCTTGCTCAGCAGAAGCCTGCTTCTCCTTCTACCTGCTGCTCCCCCTGCTTGTGCTTTCTCTCTATATCTGACAAATAAATAAATAAAATCTTAAAAAAAAACTTTCAATAGAATGCTATGGGATTTTTGGCACATAATTCAGAAAGAGGTAAAAAAATTGAGTAGCACTGCATAATAAAACTATGATTTCCATCATTTCCTTGTATGTGAACAAGTTTTCTGAGTTTAAATCTGTAAAAACAAAATAGGAACAGAATTGAAGTTAAGCCATGACACATTTCCAGTTTTTAAGTAATATTTACTCACAGAAATGTGAATTGGGAAAAACAGCTCTAACCATCTCACTGAGATAGATTTTTTTTTTTTAAGATTTTATTTATTTGAGAGAGAGTGAGAGCAAGAGTGAGAGCGGGAGAACATGAGCAGGGGGAAGGGAAAAGGGAGGGGTAGAGGGAGAGGGAGAAGCAGACTCCCTGCTGAGCAGGGAGCCCGAAGAAGCTTGATCCCAGGACCCTGAGCTGAAGGCAGCTGCTTAACTCACTGAGCCACCCAAGTGCCCCCTGAGATATATTTCTAATAAAATTTTACAATTTGTGTAATTATCTTTCAAGGTTTGTAATAGTGTAATATTGTTTTGATCAATTGTATAATCAGTAAATTACAATGACAATTCAATATGGGAGAAGATTTTAAACTTACACCTTTATGTTCACATGAAAAATTAATTTTCAACTTTTAAATATAAATTTTGATGTATATATGTTTGATAGCTAAATCAGTAGAAGACTTTCAGGCATATAAATGTATAATATTTGTTTAAAATTCCATGGGGAAAACTGAAAAAAAAAAAGTCTAAAAATAAGAAAGGAAAAATATAAAATGTCTGACTGTTGAGTCTTTTTCTTCAAGCATTTTTATTTATTTTTTTTAATATTTATTTATTTGACACAGAGAGAGCACAAGCAGGGGGAGCGTCAGGCAGAGGGAGAAGCAGACTCCCTGCTGAGCAGGGAGCCAGATGCGGGACTCGATCCCAGGACCCTGGGATCATGACCTGAGCTGAAGGAAGACGCTTAACCGACTGAGCCACCGAGGCGCCCTCTTCAAGCATTTTTAAAATGGATAATAGTAGGTATGAAACCACTATGGTATTTAGATTCCACTGAATATATTTAAAAGAGTAATGTTACTTGTTTATTTTAGAATAGCAATATTTAAAATATGCCAAATATATCATCCTTCACAACTGTTTGACTTTATGATGGAAAATGTTTTTGTTGACAACTTTAAATGTGATGACCATATAAGTTTTAAAATTTTGTTTTAGAATAAACACTACCAAAAATCATTTAAGACTTCCTGCTTTAAGGCAGTAAATTTTTAATCTTCAGCAGGGATCATTTGATAGGCTCAGACAGAACTCTGAATTAAATTTTAATTAAAACCCAAGCTTTGCTTATTCTGTAAACACCTCAACAAAAACCATTTCTGTTCTTGTTTGGCATTCACTCTTTCTTGTCCAGCTGGGATCCAAACATACAGAAATGAGTAATAATGGGAAAAGATTATACAATCTTGAATGACTCACTCAAAGACCTTTATAAACTTTCTATTTAGACTTGTTCCAGAAAAGAATCATTTTCCTGAATTCTAGTTTGTTTAGCAAATGGAAATTGCAGCTAAAAAAAAGGAAAAAAAAAAAGGATGCCCAAATATCCATACAAAAACATTGCTGTGGGCATTTTTCTTCAAAAAACATTTCACTGCATTTGTAATATTAGGAAACACAAAAAGAAACACATTAAAACACATTTACATCATTGACTCTTTAGCCACTTGATAATAACATCTTTGCCTTTTTCTAATATATATGTTCTCTTGTAGATTATTTTCTTGGGAGACATTCATGCTCAGGTTATGCACAAAATCTACTCTGAACCTTTTTGCAACCTATTACATTTTTTCTGTCCATTTCCAAACTCCCTAACTTCATTTTACATGATATATGACTTTTGGACAATTAGCTCAAGGCTAACTCAGTTCCTATTTCCTGTACTGTATTGAAAATTCACTTAAGATTAGCCAAGGTCTATTTGCTATCACATTAAAATGATATATCCCTCCCTATACAATCTCTTACCTCTTTTTCATTTTAGCTACTCTGGAAGACTACCTCTTCTCAATAGCCCCCAGTGATAGGGGCACATTCTTCCTCCTGATAGGCAGCCTAGCCTTTAGAAACTGAAAACCCCCTCTGGCTGACTTTGGGTGTTACAAGCCTCCTTAAACGTCTCACTCTGTCCCAGTATTCTGGGTATTGGAACATCCCAGAGACTCGACTATTTGCACCTAGATCAATAAAAATTTACTTGATGGGTTTATAAACATCTAATAAGAGTGTATATGCACAAGTATTGAAAATTCTTATCCACTCCCTTGGGTAATTTCTGTTTAAAGCTCTGGGTGAAAGATATGACAGACTGGATTGCACATTATAAGGACAAGCTCAGCAAGGAAAAGAATCTCTTCTGCATCTATTCATGCCCGACTTCCCATATATTTTTTGACATTCCAAGAAAGAAACCTCAAAATAATTTTCAACTCACCTTCATCCTTTCTGATACCTTCGATACAAGCTTAGAACATATCACGGATTTGTTCTTCCAAATTATCCGTAAATATATTGAATGGAATGGGCTGTAAAAAAATCCCCATGGGATGCATCCAATATAAAACCTTTATGTGGGCAGAGACCTGTCTAACTCATTCACTGCTGAATCTCCAGAGCCTAGGACAGTGCCTGACGTAGTAAGCACTCAATAAATAGTGAATGAATCAAACATGAAGGAATGGATGGAAATCTGGGTGGATAGAAACTTGATGTTTTTGAGATCTTCTGATCACTTTTTAGATAGAATCTTCTAGGCAGTAAATTAACCTCCTAAATGTATAGCAATTGGAACATAATATTTTGTATTTTTCTTGAGGATGTCACGCAGGCCCTGGAGATTACCTCATTGACTAAAAACTAATTATGTGACTTTGGACCGAGGACTTGAGTTTTTTACAGCTGATCTCTCATTAATCAGTAACGACCTGTCTCACAGGCCTGTCGGGAGATGATACATATAAAGCACTGGGCCTGGTTCACAGGAAACATTTTGTAAATGTGAGGTATCACTTTTACTATTGCATGTTTCTTTCACATGTGAGATTAATGCCTGACTGTGTAGATGTAAACACTATTGGAATTACTCTCTCAATTTTTGCGAGTACATATATAATCACTTCTCTGCTAGCCACAAAATCATTTCATCCAAGCCAGCAGCTTGCACTTTGTGATGCAACTAGAACGTAAAAATGTCGGTGCACATTAGCATTTCAAGTTGTAAATAACCAGACCAGTCACAGTATAGTAAAAGGACTTTAGGTTTCTTTGGTGAAACAAAAGCAGGTATAAAAAGTTACAAAGGTTTTAGATTTTCATTCACAAAAAAAAAAAAAAAAAAACAACAGTCATTCACATTTTACACTATACACGTTATAATATAAATACAGGAACGTATTATGTGCATTGTAATGAAGGAGAAAAATTAAAACCTAAGAGGTCAACACAGTGTTGTTCTGTGCTCTGGAACACTCAGAGGTGGATTATACTTAGTGCAGCAACCAAGGGAACTTGCTCAAAGACTCTGAGGATGATGGGAGTTACTGTTGTTCCTTCCAAGCCAAAGGAGGTTTCGTGAAAATGAATCCGTGTTGGGTCTGCTCTTTTTGTATTTTATTTGTTGTCTACTCTTCTCAAGGTTGTTCTAGCTAAAATTAGGGAAAGACTCCCAAATGCCTTCTTTCCATTATGGGGTTTTCCTTAAACGTTAAGTGGATAATGATTGGAATTCATCTTCAGCAGTACTTTATTCAAATAAAGGGGAGAAAACACAGTAGGAAGAGATAGGGAGAAATGTCAACATGTACACTCCACCTAACAGGAAGAAATACCCACACTCCATCTGTAGCTCCTTGCTTAGAATGGGCAAACACCATTTGCCGAAAGCTATACATTTTCCACTCTTCTCATAATAAACACTGGATGCATTCTATCCATCACATTATTTAATCAGGGACAAAATACCTAGATTATGTGGTCCCAAATGGTGTGGGGGAAGCATAAAGGCTAACACTGAAAAATAACTAGCATACTAGGTCAATTTGCAGGTTTGGGGGAAAATAACATCCAATAAATTAAATCAGTATGGCTTACTTCATTTATTTATGTATGCTTCACAGCTGCAGCATTCATACATGAACATTCAGAACTTTATAAAAGATTAAAATGGTTATATATACAAAATTTCTTTCTTTGAATGTGTGTGGTTGTTTTAACAATCCCCCACCCTCCAGAACCCTTAGGTCTGTATCCATTTGAAATGTGTTGATCTGTGATCTTGCAAGTTAGTGTTATGAAAGCCATTAAAAAGGAGACCTGGTTGAGTTAATAATTAGCACTTTGACCCCTAAAAAAATGCTCCTGGTCCTAGAAAAGTCCTCCATTCAGGCCTTTCTTGTAAGTGAAGAAAAAGGAATGCAGCAAAGAAGAGTTCCACGGTGCAGTCCTTAGTTCTGTGGGGATCCTGTCAGCCGGGCTTCAGGGTCACACGGAAGCAAACTGCACTTACGGCTGACATGGCGCAGTGACCTACAAGACCTTGTGTTTGTTAGTTGTCTAGGAAAAGCCGTCCTCAGTCTTGCTGACAAAGGGCAAGTGAAACCATTTCCAGCCTAAACAAACTACAAAAAGCAGCCGAACCAATGATTAAAGACCTCTGAGGCTCCATAATCATCATTAAATATGCCCAAACTCTGTGTGACTTTTTATTTTATATACAGGATTAAAATCAACATTAAATCATCTTATTTACATTGCCATTGGTGCTGAAATGGAGCTTTTTAAATAGTACAGTAGGCTGGTATACGTTAGAAAATGGTCTGCACTGGAGGCAAATAGAAAACTAAAGAAATTAGATAGGCTGGAAACAGTTACTTTCTGCCCTCATTTTCTTTCATTTTGTTAGCTTTCTTTTTGAATGCCAATACTTTCATCTGAAACGTTTTTGGGAGCACAGCAACCCCAAATGACTGGACGGTGGTCCAAAAATCCAAACCAACTGATAGTACTTCTCGAGGTGATAGGAAAGGCACAGGAAGTTAGGACTTTGGCTGAAATGATGAAAACACAGGTTCGCCATGTTAGGGGTCAGCGCCTGGACTCCTGCCACCTCCGGCTCCAACGGTGATCATGTTTTGTTGTATTTATTGAATTGTCCTTTGCTGATGAGGAATTTTTAAAGTATTTCTTAGAGTAAGTCCTTTGGTATGCAGACGCTACATGGAAGGAAAGAAAGAAAGAAAGAAAACACAACAATATTACTTGCTCCATACCCTAAACTACCAATACCGTAGCCATAAAATGAGCGTGTCTAGTAGTTGTTATAGCACGGTTGTCCATTCTTTCTAAAGGACCACTTACGGTTCAGGCAGGTAATTTTAGGCATAGCCCATCTTCCATTTCCGAGGCAACGGATAGTTGGAAGGTGGCGTTGAATGAAACCATCTTTGCAGTGATATCTAATCAGAGAGTTGATTTCATAACGAGGTTTCATCTTTCCAAAGGTCTTGGCGTTTTCTACAACAGGGGGCTGGCCGCAGGCAACTAAAGAAAAGTAAACTGGGTTATTGCCAAGTAATCTAAATATTTCTATTAGTATGAATCTTTTTTTTTTTCTCTTTCCCTTTTTCTGCTACCCAACCAAGCACCCTCATCAAAGGCAATCATTTAGAATTAAAGAATTGAAATTCTTCAAGAGAAATACTAAATACTGAGGCTCTGGGCCTAGTTTAAATCTCAGATTATATCACCTTCAGCTGTGTTTTATTAAAAACCATTGGGCTAAATGATCATATATTCATCTATCCATCTGGAAGGGTCACTTTTCTGAAAAATTCCAAATTAAAAAGCACCTGTCTCATGCCAACATGTGGCTTGTCGGTATTGTCTCCATCAGCATCCTAAAGTTTGTATTTATTACCCACCTTCAATTGGAACAATATGGATTTGTGACAATTAACTATCACAGTCACCTCCCTGAAAAAACTTACAATCTATAATAACATCGTAGTTTTAAAATATGGATAAAATATGGACAAAATATGGATTCCTAAGTATAAAGAAAATATCTCTGGTTCCCTTTATGTTTATTTTCTCTGTCTGTCTTCTGCCTGGAAACAGGGGGAAAGTCAGGACATAGCATCCATGCCTTAGTTTTGTGATTAACTTATAAATTTCAACTCTTCAGAAGGGCTAATAAAGGTAAATCTTGGAATATATAACCATCATTTTAAATTTACAACGAATAATTCTGAATATCAACAAACCTAGCAATGTAGAAATAACAAAAAAGAAATAGCAGTAAAAGAAACCTAGCAATTTTGAAATTCAAAAAGCTGGGAAAATTGATTCAACTGAGTGTGTATTAACTTACAGTTGTATTCAACATTAGTGTGTTGTTAAAATGATATACTTCAATAATTAACTTTTATTAAGTGATTATGTTTTGCTATATGTCTCTAATAAAAACATAACTTCAAAATAATTTCCCTAAATGGCACTTCCTTTCCATAGTTTACTTTGAGAATTCTGATATCACAAAGCCCATGTCATATGCTCTCATGAAATAATGCAAATCTTTAACGGGAGAATGATTACCAGAAACCTTGGTACCAAGATGTCTGGATGTCAACATCCTAATATCAAAAGTTTACAAATTTTAATTTATTTACATATTCAGAAGGCTGTTTACAACCATATTCTTTTGCAATAACAAATGTGGTTTCACTTAAATATTTTGTTCCTCTAATTTATTTCTACCTGACAAAATAGCTTGGAACATATTGACCTCATGACAAAGTTATCTTTAAAGAAACACAATCCAAGCATATCTTTTTACTCACATAAGGGATTGTCACTCAGACATAACCTAAAAATACATTATGAAGTCATACTATCTATAACTAAGAAATTAGAAATATTTATTCATGTAAATATTTGATCTTCACAAATTCCTATAAGATAAACTGAAATCTCTATTAAAAAATGTCATTTTCAATTAGTAAACTACACTATGTATATGGATCAACAATAACTCCAATCTGGGATATCTATAGCCTATACTGGTCTAGATACTAGCAAGTATCAGATAGAAGGAAACCAAAGAGATACAGAAGGTTAAAACTATCAATTAGATAATTCATTTATACTTGATTCTGTGCTATGTCAATAAATTAAAAGTTGTCATTATCAGTGTATAGATTTCTTCCAAAACTATATATGAAGACTTAAAATAAAGCTAAAATAATTCAATGAGTGTAGTATTGGAAAGGGCAGGCAAATAGACCAGAAATAGATCCACACATACATGCTCGATACTTGACAGAAGCAACATGGCAGAAGAGTGGGGGAAAGGTAGTTTTTTCACTTGGACAACTGGGTATTATTATGGATAAAAATGTACTTGGTTCCCTACCTCAGAGAATACATGGGAAATCAATTCTAGATGGTTTATATATAAAAATAAAAAAGGCAAAAACTATAAAACATTTAGAAAATAATATAGAATATCTTTCTGACTTTAGGGTAGGTATAAATTTCTTAAGACACAAAAGGGTTTGAACTCTAAAGGAAAATGCAACAAAATAAGAGAATTCTGTTCATCCATAAATACCATAGGGTAAAAGTAAAAACAATGTACAAACTGGGAGAAGATAATATGCAACATATATAATTGTCAAAGGATTACTAACCAGGATATAAAAAGGATGCCAATAAATCATCATATAAAGGAAAAGCAATCAATTTTTAAAAATAAGGAATAGACATGAACAGAAACTTTACAAAAGAGCTATAAATGAGTGGCATGTAAGTATATGAAATGATATTCAGGGAAAGCTATCCAAGAAAATGCAGATTAAATCACAAGAGATAATATTTTATACCCACTAGATTGGCAAAAATCTCAAAGTCCAATAATATCAAATTGTTAGAGAAGATGTAGAGTAACAGGACCTCTTACATATTGCTGGTGGGAGTGCAAATTGGTACAACTACTTTGGAAAACAATCTGGCATTTTCTAGTAAATTTGATGGTACATATATCCTATGACTCAGCAACATCACTCCTGGAAAAATACCCTACGGAAGCTCACATAGGCCTGCTAGGAACAAGTTCAAGAATGTTGATAGAAACAGTGTTTATAATAGCAAAAACACTCAAAATAACCCAAATGTCTACTGACAGGAGAATTGGTAAATAAAATATTATATAGTTAGGGCGCCTGGGTGGCTCAGTTGGTTAAGCG